AATTAGCCCATAGACGGAAGTAAAAGCTAACATCTATGGATTTTTATGTGGTTCTCCTATAGGTACCGAAGGAAAGACTTACAATTTAAGACCAATTTATGACTCAGCAAGAGGACCCACTGTTGGGCATCTGATCCTAAAGTGAGAATGCTTCCTCCAGGGGACAGTATTATGCAGCCCCTTCTCCCTTGATTATCTCAATTTTATTTTGATATTCTTGTCATTGCCTCTGAGTCGACTCAGCAATGTTGTTCCACGGGCATGTTGTTTTGTTTAGCTGGAAGAAAAAAAATGTCATAAAATAGTTATGGTTTAAAGGGGATGGATTTGGAGTCATCACATTGCCTGCTTTATTTTGTTGGCTGCACTTTTATGTTTTTGTAATGGAGTTTGTGTATAATCACTGCCTATGTTCCTTTTAACATCCATTACACTTACTCATGAAACATAACAGAAGAATCTCATTTTAAGAGAATTTTAGAAAGTTCATAATTATTGGGCTTTCTTCTCAGAGTATATTCCTGCTTGTATGCCACAAAATAAATGTCATGCAGAAACTTAGAGCATAAATGAATAAAGACATAAGAACAGACAAAGCAAGGATGCAATGTAGAGAGCGTATTAGACCACCCACCATTGCATGAACAATTCAGACATTTGGCGGGAAGGTCATGGAGCCTGAAAGGTAAATGCCTTCATTTTCCAGCCTTTCATAATTCTATCCTTCCTTCAAAACTCATATCAGATGTAACCTTCTCCAGTGTTGTTTTTGAAATTGGGTTTCTTTTTTTGTGTTAATAATAATAAGAAAAATGTCAGCTCTCCAGCCAGTCCCAGTGGCCTAGTGGTTAAGTTCGGCACGTTCCGCTTCAGCAGCCGGGGTTCAGTTCCTAGGGGCGGACCTACACCATTCATCTGTCAGTGGCCATGCTGTGGTGGCGGCTCACATACAAAAAAAAAAAAGAGGAAGATTGGCAACAGATATTAGCTCAGGGTGAATCTTCCTCAGTAAAAAAAAAAGTCAGCTCTCATTTATAGTGTACCTACTGTGTGCTGCTCAGTGTATTAATTACTTTTTATATACAATCTCTGATGCTCACAGCATCCCTTAAATTAAGCATTTTACTTGTGAGGGAATGAGGGAACAGGGCTTAGAGATTACAGCTTGCTTTAAGTCACCCAGCTAGTAACCCACATGATACTAATTACTTGAAATATCATTTAAATATTAATATATTCAACCTTTCATGTCAGTGTTTCACATGGTTTTAGGGAAATTAAGATAGCCAGAGGAGTTGCTCATATGAAGTAGGGTTGCCTGTCTCTTTTCTAGAAATTGTTTCCCAGCCTTGAAGGCTAACAATGGAGAAGAAAAACCTGATAAACTATCATCCAGCTGGAGCAGTGATCTTGTTGTAAGCATAGGGTTGGGGGACATCCAGGCAGGATTTAGATTGAGAATGTTGTACCATAGATGGGGACAGTAGGCACTGCTATTTTTCTAAGCCTTATTTCATTCCAACTTATCCTAATCACAATAGTAGAATACAACTTATTTATTTTAGATCATAACCTAGGAAGCTGAAGGGCATTGATGCTGTGATTCGGTTTCCAGAAACTTACATCAACATCCAGGGTAAATGTTCCACTTTCAGATAGAAGCTTCCTCTTCAATTGTTTGAGCAGCCACTCAGCCTTTGAGTGGCTTTCCCTGCTGGGCAATAAGTCACTTCCAAGGTTGCATTAATTTGCAATGTATTGAAGTTAATTGCAGATCAGGCAAGTAAATTTCGGGACAGAATATAAACAAATGGATATATTATGTTCTCAGCCTTATTTTAACAAAAATTCTCAGACAGATCTCAGAATAGCACAAAAGCAGTCCGATACCCAAACCGTTACTTGGGTTCCCCTCGCTAATACTATCTAAGGCATCCTTGCTGGAAAAGAATAGAAGTTCTGTAGTATTCAAAGAACAGTAAAGAATCAAGAATGTTCTTCTTGTAACCTCATTGGTGCATCTTTGAGTAAAATTTATTTCCATGTTGTTAGAGCAGTTATTAAAAATGATTTCTGCAGTAGAGTTTCAACATATCCAATGTTCAAGCCATTTTCTTCTTTAAAAAAAAAATCTAGGGCCGGCTCCGTGGCTTAGCGGTTAAGTGCGCGTGCTCTGATGCTGGCGGCCCGGGTTCGGATCCCGGGCGCGCCCCGAGGCACCACTTCTCCGTCCAACGCGAGGCCGAGTCCCACGTACAGCAACTAGAAGGATGTGAACCTATGACATGCAACTATCTACTGGGGCTTTGGGGGGAAAAAAAAAAAAAAAAAAAAACTTTAAAAAAAAAAAAAAAAAATAAAATGTTTAAAAAAAAAAAAAAAAAATCTAGGGGATAGATACTGAGTTTGTTGTGTTTATTACTTTTATCATTTATTGTTTTATTGTCTATTGTTTATTACTTTTAGCAATCTTATTTCAGGGGGATAATGAGGTCTAAAATTAGTTTCCCAGTAATTGGCCTGGAGTGAGAGTAGGAATATGGGTGTCAGGAATAGTCCACATTGGTGAAAAGAGGGAAAAAATGAGGAGTCCATTTTTTCCCCAGTAATAATCCTGAGCTAATCAAAGGTAATGATTCCAATAATAGTACTAACAGCAGAATATCTTTTAAAGCCTGCTCTGACCCAGATATTATTATAATCACTTTGCCTGTACTTATTTATTTCTCATACCCACTTAGTCCTCAAAACAGTCCTATGAAGTTAAGGCTATTACTATCCACATTTCACAGATGAGAACCTGAGGTATAAAATGGAAAGTAATAGGAAGCAGCAGATCCAGGATTTGAATCTTGGCAGCCCGGCTCTAGAATCTGTAATCTTATTCATTATGCTACCCTGCCTCAAACATGGCTGTCCAGCCCAGAATGTATTCCTTTTGCCTACATTTGTCTGTCCTTTGCATACCTTAGAGCCCTAAGAGGGAGGAGATGGTAATTTGTTTAATCTTGAGCATAAACAAATCAAGCAGCCATTTTGCCCTCCTCAACCAAAACATGCTTAAAGTTCCATTAGTATCTCTCCTGTCAATGATTTACAGACAAAGACACTTGGAGTTTCCTTCCAGTCCAGTGGGTCAATAAAGCATTTTTAACACAGTCTTAAATATGCATTTCTGACATCCGCTACAATAGATTTCAAGAGAGCTATTCATAAGGGCTTGATCAAGAAGTTTTGGAAAAGCGAATCTCAAAAGACCTGTGCTTCTTCTTACACATAACGGCTTTTAAAGAAAGGAACCAGTTGCAATAAAGTGAAAATGTAAGGATTCACGTAATCATGTCAGTCTTAACATTCCTTAATCACGTTTTATTCATTTCCTCCAAAAGTTGCCCTTGACTATAAGCAGATATATCCTGGCTTACTATTAATGAGGACTGAAGTTTCCTTATGGTTACTCTTAATTGTTGTTTCATTTTCAAGTCATTTCACTTAGAATAAAAAGCTTTTCCTTTGTACATTTTGGATCTACCCCAAACCAAGGTTCCAAGTTGATTTTTCTGTAGAAGGTGTACTAGAAGGTCACTTCCTTGCAAAAGCTACATTTATCACTCAAGTTCATTTTCGGAAAAGACCACATAGTGGATACTTAAGAAAAGTTCCCCAAAGAGGATTAATTTATATTCAGTCTTTCTTCTCTTCTTTTCCCTTCTCTTATCTTCTCTTTTCTTCATCTTTCTTTCTCCCCTCTCACTCCTTCCCTATCTTCTTTCTTCCTCTGCCTCTTCCTTTTCTTCCTTTTTTCCATCATTCAGTCATTTAATCATTCAGTCCTTTAGCATATGCATGAATGCCTACTATCACACCTGGCAGTAGGGATAAAGAAATAAACAAGATGTGGTCTCTGCCATCATGGAGTGTCTAGCCTAACAGGGTAGACAGGCACTGAACCAATCATTCCAACTGGGAGACATGCTGCAAAAGAGAAATTTGGCTTGCTAAGAGAGCATACAATGAGGGTCAAATCTAGCCTTTGGGGAAGAGGTTCATTCAACAAATATTTACAGAACAACATGGGCCAGATTCCAAGCCCAGTACTAGGGACAGTGATGAAACAGAAAAATTGCTGCCCTTAGCCTTTACAAGAAAAGCAAGACATCGTTTAAAAATACCAAAATCATGCATTCGGAATATTATTGTGGGATAATTAGATGAGGTTGTAGGATCATACAACAAGGGAATCTAACTTACAGCATGGTTCAAGGAGACCACTTAAAGAAGACTGAGTTATGACTACAGGGGCCAAAAAAAAAAATGTCCAGGGTTTAGCCTGACATTAACTTTCTTTTTATTTTTAAGATAATTCTCTTCTATTCCAACTTTACACTCTACCTTAGCATCTTCTTTCCCAGAAAACTTGGTGTTGTGATAATTTTGAATCTCTTGGCTATGTTTAGTTTTGGACAGGAAGCCATCAACACCAAAATATACTACTGAACGTCAAATTCGCTGGCAGATTAAAAGGATTAGACATTAGCAATTTCCCACAAATGCCCCTTCTTAAACGGTTGACCCAGTTTGTAGCCAGAGCAATCCAGTTGGTTGGTGTGTGCTATTCTATTAGATGTCCATTCTGGGAGCACACTCTGTTTTACGATGCCAGCCTTCAAGTTTTTAGCCATGTGCTTGCCAGTCATTCCTAACCTCATCTTGCCTTTTCCATCACGACATAGAATTGTCATCAGTGGGGACTCATTTAAAAGAAACGTTATCCTTAGCAATTCATCTTCTTTGTATTTCCTCACTTGTACAGGGCAAGACAGTGATGCATTGAGCTGGGAAGGAGAGATCATCGCTAGGAGCATATGGGGATTGGCATTTTTTTTAACTTCTCCAGTTCCGAGTGAGTTGCTGCTGCCAGAAATAATCTTGAAATGCTGTCTTTTTTTTCCCTTTTTGGATATTAGACTTGCTTTTCCCGTTAAAAATAGGTTTTGACAATGTATTCAGTGCCCCAACAAACCCAAGAGAAAGAGAAGAAGAAGTGGAGACGTGTCCTGTGGAGCTTCCCTGCAGAGGACCTTCCCATTGCCACCTGGGCCAACGTGGGCGACGGGAGTGAGACGCAAGGCCACCATTTTGAAAATTTGTGGTAGAGGAAGAACCGGGAAATTGATGTCTGTCTAATTTTTTCAGATTGGCCTGCATTAGCCAGATAATTACTGCATTTACCTTCTAATCTGAAAAAAACAGCGGGACCCCTTATAAGGCTAGATTTAGAGTATGAGACTAATTTCTAATATTTTATCTTAGATCTGTTTTCTCTAGACAAAGTAAAGTGATAATAGGAACAATAATCTGGAAAATCTGAATAGTAAATAGCACAGACAACCTGCATACTGGCTTGTTCTCTGTGCCACGTTCTCTACTATTAGCTAATAAGTTACTTCACGTGCCTTATTTGCTGGATCTACAGATGCTAAGTGAAATCCAGAAAAGAAGCCATTTTCCAAATAATCCATAAGCAAAACTGGGAAGCACTTAATTGACTTTGCTTTAAGAGGCTATAGATCATCTTGAAATCATTTTGACTTGGATTGAGACAAAATTTAAGAATGGATTGGTGTTGGCGCCAAACAAAAATCTGAAAGACATTTACATGACAAATATTATCATTAGGATTTTGCAGTAACCATGGCAGTTAGGTTTGAAAGGACGGTTCACTAGGTAATCCTTAAATGCAGATAAAATAGGTTTAAAGGCCCAATTTTCTAGTTCCCAGAAAGGATTATGACAAACCTAACTCTTCTCTTTCACTGGGGACAAAGCAGGGGAACGTTTTGGTTTCCTGTCCCCTTTTCAAGCAGCCAGCTAATGAGGACAATAGGTAAGGAAGACTTTAGAGTCAGTTCCAGAGGGTCTTGAAAATTTCTATTCCTGTGGGTATAACAGAAGTATAGAATTTTATTTCTTTTCACAGAATTTGATCAGCTTCTCACGGTGTCTTGGGTGGATCAGAGTAAATGTGGGCTCCTGATACGGTCAAGAAGTAAAAAACACATAGAAATTGGGAGAGGAGAGTATATCTTACAAGCTTACTATACCAAGGACATCCAAGCTTCTCAAGAAACAGTACATTCCATATTATTTGATTGTGCATAAATCCTTGACAGATTTGTAATTCATTTTTCATTTTGTTCAGTCATCCATCCATCCATCTATCCATCTATCCAACAAATACTTGTCATTTGATATTAGCTTTAGAGAGCTGCTCATTAGCTAAGTACAATTGTTTTTACTTTTTCCTTAGCAGAGGAATCCCTCTGAAGAATAGATTATTATACTCAGTGTTAAAAATGACATAACTAGAGTTGCTGACTACTTTCCTCCGGTGGAAGTAGCTGAGCTCACTCAGATAATCCATAGAGCCCCACAAAGCGTAACTTGAAAACCTCTGAGCAAAGGACTACAGATGTAAGAGAGCCTTTTCCCATCAAAGATCTGATATTTTTACCTTGTCAACTCAAGTCAGTGGACCAGGGTTCCATGGTCAGGATAGACTGAAAGATTAAATTGCTCTGATTGACTGTGGCTAGGTCAGTCACAAATGTAAACCTTGGGAATCAAGAGATTTGGGTATGGCGGGGCCAATCAGACTTTCTAAATGTTAGGGTCCTGTGGGCCTGCCAGACCTGATTCTGGGCTCCACATTGGCGTACCTGAGCAGTAGCTGTAATTGAAGCCATAGTTCAACTTGTCAAGACCAGATGAGCTTGTTATTTAGAGCAATACCTACCTGGCTTCAGTGTGCAAATCCATCATCTGTGAGCCAGAGGAAGATGTGGTCTGGGTCATTGACTTTATATACAAGATTTTAATGAAAATGGAACACTTGTCAATTTCCAGTCACCAAGCTTTCCTCTTGTTTTCAGAGAAATGGCAGCATGTGTGCCATGGTGGGACTGGGGAAAGAGCACTGTATATGGGGTCAGAGGATCTGGGTTCTGGTCCAGATGCTGCCATGTACTTGCTAGGTAAAATGTGGGCAAGCGTTTAAGTCTTGATCTCAGTTGCCTTCTCTGAGTAATCATAACCTCATTGGGCTTTTGTGAGCATAAAATGAACTGAGGGTTTATAATGTATCTACCATGGTGTCAGACATATAGGAAATATTCAATAAATGGTTAACTCCTATAATACTATTATTATTACCATTAGTTATGTGGCTGTGTCGTTTGGCTGCTCTAAGTCTGCATCCTCACTAGCAAATGGTGATGACAGTAGTCCTATTTCTATCTTTGAACTATTTTGCAGATTAAATGAAATATGTATTAAAAGTACTTTTTAAACCCTAATAATAATATGCCAGACAATGTTTAATAAATAAAACAATAAGAATCCCTGTCCTTGAGATTATATTCCAGTGGGAGACACATAGACAGTAAGTATAATAAATAAATAAATTATGTACCATATTTCAGAGTTACAGGTACCCTGGAGTTCGGGGCGGGGGTGCGTAGAACAACGTAAGGGAGATCATGAGTGCTGGCTCAGGGAATTACGATTTAAATAGGGTAGTCATGTGGGCCTGTGATAAAATAACGTGTGGGCAAAGATATGGAGGAGATGAGGGAAGGAGCCACAGATCTCCCAGAAGAGTGTCCCACGTGGTATGTAGTTCAACTTGTCAAGACCAGACAAGCCTCTTGTTTAGAGTAAGCCTCCCCTGGTTTAGAGCCACCCTCAAGAGGGATCATGCCCGCCATGTTCAGGCAATAGCCTGCAAGGACACCAGTGTCCCTGGAGCAGAGGGAAGGAGAGAGTGGTGGTAGCTAACGAGGTCAGAAACAGGATTTAGGGGGGTAGGGGCAAGGTAGATACTTAACCTTGATAACTATCCTAAGCAAAGTGTTAGACATCCTTCCGGAAGTTTTTCATCAACAGAGAATAACTACTTGTGACAGGATGAAAAAAAGCATGAGTTTTGGAACCCATCACAACCTGGGTCACGCTCGTGTAATTCTGGGCAAGTTATTCAACCTCTAGGAGCATCATGTAAAGTGGGGACATTGCCTTGTACAGTTGCTGGGAGTTTTATAATTAATGTAGGTCAAGTTCTGAAAACACTGTCCAGCACCCAAGTCAGAGCTTCCTAAATGTCAGTGAGCACTGCGACGACACGGAACTGTTCCTCTGGCTCACCTACAACAGTGCTGTGAGGGACTGCCTTGGGGCCTGCGTGGCCACCTTGTCTTCTGTATTATTTAACTCAGTGCAGTAGCTCAGACGATCTGGCGTGTCTGTCACCATGTCTGCTGGCTTGACTATAAATCGAATAAAATTCAAGATACGTCCTGGGAGCTTTCATAAGCCTTGTGCTATTTTCAATCACAAATGTTGCTCCAGTCTTGTATTAAAGCCAAGTGGTGACTTTAAAATTAGTGGTCTTCTCGTGAAGTAGAGAACCAGCTATTCCTGACTTGACTTAGGGTACTTGTAGCTGACAATTATAAGCCAGAGCGACCTGATGGCAGGTGTCTGGGTTAAAGAGTGCAATGTGCAATTAGCCCCATTGTTCTATTAGCTCTACTCCCAGTGATGGGCGTATGGTGAGAGTGAGAAACTCTTCTCAGGATCCAAGTTCAAGCCTCCTTACTTCCTGCTCAGAATTTTCAATGGCCTTTGTTTTCCTTCTGCTTTGCCACCTCACACTTCTCCAAGTGCTCCTGAACAGAGAGGCCGGGGCGGTCACTCTAGAGTAATATCCAGATCACATCACTCCTTCGCTTCAAAATCCCCAATCATGCTGCCTTGCAACATAAGATCACACCGAGCCCTCTCCAGTTAAATCCTATCTCAGGTCCTTAGTTCCGTCTACTCTAATGTGTTTTTAAAAATGCCCTGACCAGCTCCTTAGAGAAATGGTTGATTCTACGACTGGGGCAGGAAATGTACAAGATGAGCCTGGAGCATCTTCTAGGGCCAGAAAATAAGGAAGTCCTCCCCACCTCTAAAAAAGAGGGACCCAGAAACCAATTGAAAGAGCTCACAATGGCCAAAGCTGGAACACTTTATTCAAAAAAATGAGTAACATAGTATTGGATTATAACCCAAAGTATAAAGCATATGTCCGTGAGTCCATACTGATATAAATGATTGAATAAGTAAATAAACGGGAGAAAAGGGACAAATCTGCCATGCAGAAGAATTCCCAGTTATTCATGTAGATTTCCACCTTAAGGAGGTGGAGCTTAACTCCCCACCCCTTGAGTATGGGCTGTGCATAGTGACTTCCTTCCAAAGAGGACAGTGTGAAAAGGGACAGGGTTGAGGGGAGGGAGGAGTAACATTACAGTGGAGAAATCTGACAAGCACTACCTTGGCCAAGTGATCAAGGTCAACATCAACAGTGATCAGTCATGTTGACAGTATGTACCCCTGATATGATGTGATGAGAATGACACTTTACCTCTGTGGTCTTCCTCCAAAAACACATGACCTCAGTCTAATCACAAGAAAAGCATCAGATAAATCCCAGTTGAGGGACATTTTATAAAATACCTGACCAACACTGCTCAAGGCTGTCAAGGTCTTAAAAAGAGGAAGCAATGTCTGAGAAACTGTCACAGCCAAGAGGAGCCTAAGGAGATAAGACAACCAAATGTAATGTGGTATCCTGGATGAGGTCCTGGAACCGAAAAGGACATTAGGTAAAAGCTAAGGAAATCTGAATATAGCGTAGACTTTAGTTAATAATAATGTATCGATAATGGCCTATTAATGATAACAAATGTCCCATACTAATATGTTAATATTAGGGGAATAAAATAGGAAATAATAGGGCATGGCATATGTGGGGACTCTCAGCAGTATCTTCACAAATTTTCTGTAAATCTAAAACTGTTCTATAATTAAAAGATTCTTTTTAAAAAAATGCTCCAGCCTCTCACATTAGTGCATTTCTTCCCTTTCATCTTTGCCTTGTGAAGCCCTACCTTTCAACTCATAACTTAAGGAGCCTTCCTAGATCTTCAAAAATGAATAGGTCTCCCCCTCTACTGATGTCCACAGAACTTGGTACTAAATTATAGTGTTAATTTTAGTTAATTCACTTATTCTTTCTTTTATTCATTCAACCAACAGTTATGGAGCACCAGTTGTTAATGTTAGGGCTGTGAGGAAACATGCAAAACCCTGACCCTGACCAAGCTTACAGTCTGCCTGGCCTTACAATGTGGTTACAATTGCAAGAGGAAATGTGTAGGGTGCTCAGAGAATGAACAATGATGAAGGCGAGAGGACATTCTCTAAGGAACTGACCTTTGCATTCAGTTCAAAGGAGAGTTAATTGGGTGAATGCATTTGAGTTAGGGATGAAGGATGGAGGGATGGAAGGTAGGAAACAGTATTCCAGGAGAAATCGTATTTGCAAAGTTTCTGAGGCAGAAAAGAGGGTGGCATCCCCAAAGAAATATAACATCAATGTGACTGGATATTTTTATCATAGGTAGCATATATGGACTTTTTACTATGTGTTAGGCTCAGTGCTAACCCCTATGCCTGTATTTTCTTGGTTTATACTCACACAACCCTAGGAGGCAGGTGTTATTTTTATTCCCATTTTACAGATGAAGAAACTGAGGCACTCAGGTAGTAAGTGATAGAGCTGAGATTTAGACTAAAACAGGCTGGTTTGAAAGCCTAAACTCTTCCCTCCCATTGAGGGAGGCAGGATTAGTCTGCCTTAATTCAGAGATTCTTGTGAGTGTTTCTTTCATATGAAACCAGGGTTTCTCAACCTGAGCACTATTGGCATTTTGAGTCAGATAATTCTTTGTTGTGGTAGGTCTCCTGTGCATTGTGCAATGTTTAGCGCCATCCCTGGCCTCCACCCACTGGATGCCAGTAGCACCCACCCTCCACCAGTAATGACAATTAAAAATGTCTCCAGACTTTGCCAAGAATGGTAGGGAGGGAGAATAGCAAAATCACCCCACCTCCCACCTCTGCACTGAGAACCACTGCATTACACTAAAAGTTCTCAGGACAGGGTGGAGCTGTGTCTTAAGTCTTCCCTCCTTCCTTGTTCCCGTCCTCCTTCTCCTCTTTTCCAGTGTTTCCTAAGTGCCCACTATGGATGGGCGGGATACATATCCCAACACGGTTGATAACACGGTTGATAACACGGTCACTTGTAGATAGTGGTTGCTTAAGAAATGCTTGCTGAACTTCTGCCAACTGCATCCTAAATGCCAAGAATCCTAGATGTTCTCAACCCATTCTTGTCAAATGAAAAACATTCTTCCTGCATGCAAAACTTCATGCTGGGAAAATAATTCCTGGTTTGTGATTGCTTGGAGAATCTTTTGTGTCCCTGGAGAACTGGCCTAGCTGATGTCCTGCAGGCTGGCAAGACCCACCTGCATGCTCACCAACCTTTAGAGAGACCCAGCAGTGCACCTGTTAAGAACCTAGTGGAGAGTGACAGACGTTAGGTTGCCAGTACATGTTGATGAATGCGTGGCTGACCTGGAACACAAGTAGAGTCATGTGCCTAGGTCTGTAATTTTAGATGTCATTTAAAGCACAGACCCATTTTCTCCAGTGATTCCTTCTATCATTTTTGGATGAGATCTGGATTTGGGAAATGACTCTCCAACGACATTTTCTATTCAGCCCCCTGAGAGTGGGTAGGCAGTGGGAGAGAGAGCTAATTTCTGGGCAGTTTTCCTGCCTCTGCAGGTTCTGTATCACTGGAGTGTCAGTTGTTTGTCATTAGCGGGAGCTCAGAGAATTCTAAATGCAAAGATAACACAGGAGTGAGCTCCCAAAATATAATGCATTTAAATCACGGAGCATCTTTATTTTGTGTTAGCTCCAGGCATTCACTGCTCCACTGCCTCTCAGTACATGCAGCAAGGACCTGTCACCTCTTGAGAGCTATTCATTGGTGCTCTTGGTTGGATTTGAAGTGTAGTGCTGTAATGCCTGCCTTTTCCAAGATTACACATACCTTGTATATAATCTTGTATACGTGTATACATACACCATGTATATATATGCATATATATATGCATATGTATATAGTGAGAAAATCCCTTAGTAATTATACTTCATGGAAACTATTTCTATAATTTCTCTCACTTTCTCTAACCCCTCCACACATATTCCCACAGGCCTGAATAGCCACTGAGTCATTTCTAATCAGTGTCCCTGTTCCTTCTCTCTTGCCAGAAGGAGGGACATGTGAAGTGATAGCAGCACACAGATGTTGTAATAAGAATCGCATTGAAGAGCGGTCACAAACAGTAAAGTGTTCCTGTCTACCTGGGAAAGTGGCTGGAACGACAAGAAACCGACCTTCCTGTGTCGATGGTAAGTAGCTGGTTGTACATTTCTCTCTAAGTGTTCACCACGCATAATGTATTCTCTTGTTTCATCTAAATATGGCTCAGGATAATGAACAAGGTGCATCCAAAGTGCTGGAAAGTTATACAAATGCCAGCCCTCAGCATAGAGTTTGAATTCTTGTGTCTCTGGCTTTGGGGTTTTCAAATAATTCTATTTTGACATTTTTTAGAGAAGATTAAGTAAAGGAATTTTTTCAAGTCAAGAAATTTGAGGGTCCAGCTCATTTGGGAAGTGATTTTGGATTGAGATGACAGATGATGATGATGGTGATAATAGTGGTAAAGATAACAATATCCAACATTCATTCAACACATATTTAAAGAGCATTTACTATATATCAGGCACTGCTCTGGGCGCTTCCCATACATTCGTGAGCAGATAGAAATACCCTGAGTTTTCACCGTGTGCCAAGCACTGTCCTAAACACTTCTCATGCTTTATTTTATTTACTCCTCCCAACCATCCTATGCTAGTTATTTATTGCCATATGACAAATTACCGCCCTAGCACTTAGCAGCCTTAAAACTGCAAGCACTGTCTCACAGTCTCTGTGGGTCAAGAATTTAACTTAGCTGGGTGGTTCTGGCTCACAGTCTCTCCTGTGGTTGCAGTCAAGATATGAAGGCTTGACTGGTGCTGGAGTATGGTTTTAAGATGGCTCACTCACATGGCTGTTGGCAGGTGGCCTCAGTTCCTTGCCACGTGGATCTCTCCGTAGAAGCTTGGTGTCCTCACACCATGGCAGCCGGCTTCCCCCAGAGCGAGTGATCGAAGAGAAAAATACAGAAGCCACAAAGACCTTTTATGATCTAACCTCAGAAGTTACACTTCATTGTGTCCACAATATCCTATTGGTTATACCAGTAGCCCTATGTTCAGTGTGGGAGTAGACCACAAGGGCCAGGAGAGCAGGAGATAGCGATCCTTGGGGCAGATACACTTTCTCTCCCATTTTAAACATGAAGAAACTAAAGCTTAGAAGAGTTAAGTAATGTTTCGTTGGTCTCATGGCTGGTAAGTTGAACTTGACTGACTCTTGAGCCCAGAGTAACTGACTCTAATACCAAGTCATGACCGCTATCTTTAAAAGAACTTTAGATGCTCTGTTAAAAAGTGAGTCCAAGGTTTAAAGTTACCAAAAATATCTCTCCCCATCTTTATCTTTCATAATTTTAGAGCCAGGTGTGAGTTAATCTTCAAATTCTCCAGTAAGAAAATCAGAACTCAGAGAAGTGAGCCCATTGGTCAAGGTCACATAGCAGGAATTAGAACCTGAATCTCTTGGTTCGTTGTTCTGCCTCTAGATATAGATGAGAAAGAATACCTTCTAGATTGGCTTGTGTTATGTGTTTTCATTATGAATCATTAGGTGGTTAGAAAGAGAAACACACTCAAGCTAGACCAAGTAAAGAGGAAGTTATTTTTTAAGAAACAGAGGAACCACAGGGAACCCAATTACAAGAAATTCAGCCAAACCTCGTGGGATTCATAAATTCTTCAGGCAGCTGGAATCTTATTTTCTTTGTGTCTGATCTTTGTCTCCCTCATTCTCCTCTGTGTGGATTGGTTCCCTCTTTAAGGATTTTAGCTTTTGGTCCCCTATAACTTAGGGACTAGTGTGTGGCTTTTATTTCCACGGTGCCAACTCCAATCTCACTCGGCATCGTGGTACAACCCAAATATATTGGAATCAATTCCTGTGTCTTAAATGCATTCTCCAAAAAGACTAAATACGTTTGGCCCAGCTTGAGTCACATGTCAACCTTTGCCCAATCAGCCACAGCCAGAGGGACAGACTCACGTGGCATGTACAACTGCCCATTCTGTACCATAGGAATGTCAAGCTTTTTTAAAAGGATATGAAAAAGCCAGGTTTGGAAATACACTGTGATCAGTAGTTCTTAATCAGGGAAAGTCTCAGGGGTCATTTGGCAACATCTGAAGACGTTTTTGATGCAGACATTTGTTATGACTGGGGGAATGCTACTGGCATCTGGTGGATAGAAGCCAGGGATGCTGCTAAACATCCTACAATGCACAGGACAGCCCCCACAACAAAGAGTTATCCAGCCCCAAATGTCAGTGGAGCTGAGGTTGAGAAACCTGCACAATTATTAGTTACTTGTTCTAGATCAGAGTCAACAGAGTAAGGCAATTCCAGTGCAGGGAAGGTAGGCAGCTAGACTAGAAAAGCCGTTTCACCCGTTTCACAGAGGAAACTCTTGGCGCTAGAAGCCAATGAACATTATAAAACCATGATAGTTTCTCATGTTCTCTGCCAAAGAAAGCATTGAGTCTGTAAACTATAAATCTTCATTTTGTTTCCAGTTCATTTTTATCTCTAATGATCTAGAAATAGAATTACCTTTAGGATTTGGATGCAAGACACTGAGAGCAATGCACTGTCTATGCTGGCAGCGGGGGAAATGGCATCTGGCCTGAACTTTCTGTGAGAAGTTAAGTCACATATTGGTAACATTTTGTCTCTCAGAACAAGTTTGTTTGACTTTGGAAACTCTGAACACTTTAGTGTGGTAGGTTCAGACAAGAGGCTGTTAGTCTCTATCTTTCAAACAAAAGTCAGTAAAGTATATAGTATTCTTTAGTTTCAAGCTGATTGTTTATAGTTTCCATAGCATTCCTCCAAAATCCTTCAATCCACTGGCGTGTATAGGCTACGATCAAAATTGTTTTCATGGCCTAGATCTCTACATGCAAATTAAATATGAAGTGTAGATATAAATTAATAATTCAAGTGCAGTTATTAAGATCACGAACTGTGAAATTAACAGACATGAGCAGAATCTCAGCTGTACCAGTTACTAATAGAATGACCTTGGGCAGGTCACATTTGCTTTCTAACCTGTTTCCTCATCTGTCAAATGGGGATAATAATTGTTTCTACTTCATAAGGTTGTAGTGAGGATTAAGGAAATCATGTGTACAATGTGCTTTGTATAATGTCTTGTACCCATCAAGTGCTTACTAAATGGTGGTATCTATTTCCTGTTTTACTAATATGTGTGGGTAATGCTTAGAGACAGACATTGTTTTACAGAGTTTTGTTTCATATTAATTCAACACAGTGGCATTTTAGGCACCGTCTTTTCTTGGAACTGCTTCTAACTAACTATGCTGGATATCACTAATGCTGGTAAGTCACCTTCAGGAGTGCGTGTTTATTATAGGAATTTTGAAAACTACAGAAATACATCCATACATTAAAATCACCCACGATATTATTGCTTAGAAATTATCATTGCTTTGTAAGTAACACGTATATGTCCTTCCAGGCTTAACTCATTGTTAAATAAAACTTACATAGTATGTATTTTATGGAACTAAAATGTTGTAGTACTGTTTTATCAACAGTTTGTTTCATTTAATATATGATGAGCGTTTCCCAACTTAATACATACTCTTCAAAAACATTATTATTAACAGCTACGTAGGATTTCGGGGTGGATACACCACCATTTATTTAACTATTCCCTCCACTTTGGCACATTTACTATGTTTTGTGCATTTTTCTTTCTCAACCTAAGAATGGATAGAAACCAGCTTCTCTCCGTGACAACAGTTGACAATCCATACACCACATTTGTCCTAAACATATTCTGTCACAAATAGCACATTTCCCGTGGTAAGTGTTCCAATTGCTGTTGTTTGCTTTCCTCGGAAATTGCAGGTCAATTGCCTTCTACAGTGTTTTCAAAAACAGAGGAACAGTATGATTTTAAAAAAGCATATATTGGACTGTTTCAAGATTCAAAATCTGAGACCAGATTATGTAAAATGGGATATAGATTTTGGGGTAAAATCTTAGCAACTTATTCAAAAGTAAAACATATGATATTTGGAGAAATTTTTAAGGAGTGCACTTTTAGTTTAAAAATGATATTCTATTGCCTAATAACTAAAAACACCAAAATACACACTCAACGACTTAAATGATTGGATAGTCATTTATAAATATTTTAAAAAGCATTATACACTTAGACTTGTGCCTAGCACTATTCTGAAGGAATATAAGTCATTCCCCTCTAATTCACACCCTGTTGTGTTTTATTAATTAACCCAAAATGAGGTAGGAGAGAGCACCTTATTCAATATCTTTGGTTGAGACCAGCTAAAAATATAATGTACAGCCTTTCTGTAATCTCTAATTACTTCCCATGCACTAAAAGTTAAAATCAAAGACTCATAAACAAGAAGATTATGACTCAAAACATAATTATTTATTTAAGGGAAGAATTTTTCCAAGCAGACGATGTAAAACAAACAAAAATAAATTCTTAGGGAGCTTATTATTCTAAGTGATCTATAATGGCATAAAAATAGTATCAATCTCAAAGTTTTAAAAATAATGGGATATAATGAATAACTAATGATAACAATAATAAAAACAATGGCTAACATTTTCTTGAAGGCTTATCATGTGCCATTCTTACAAGTCCTTCAAATCTGTACATTCATTTAATTCTAACCCCAACTCCATAAGGTGTATCCTTCTATTATTTCCATTTTATCCATAAGAAAACTGAGACAGAGATTTAATAATTTGCTCAAAATCATGCAGTCAATAGTGGCAGAGCCAGAAGGTCAGCCTGGGCTATCTACCTCCAGGGCCTTCCATTTGTCAAGCATAGGCAAACCAGGATCTAATATAAACACAGGTTATATTCCAAAGGTTTTCTTGCAAGATACCAAAATATATGAGTGAGAAGGAGAAGAAAGTTCAACCACGTAGATACGGTCATGCATCGCTTAACAACGGGATATATTCTGAGAAATGCATCGTTAGGAGATTTTGTTATTGTGCGAACATCACAGAGTGTACTTACACAAACCTAGATGGTATAGCCTACTACACACCTAGGTTATATGGTACTAATCTTATGGGACCACCATCATATATGCGGTCCATCATTGACTGAAAGGTAGTTATGTGGCACACGACTGTA